CCCCCCCCCCCCCCCCCCCCCCCCCGCCTCCTGCCGAGGGCAATCAGCTGGCTTGCGGCATTCGGGAGGGAGGGGGAGCTTGTGTGTTGAGTCCTCGCTCCTCCCCCCCGCCTCCAAAACGCTGCAAGCCAGCTGATTGCCGCGGGCAGGAGGCAGGGGGAAAAGGGGGAAGGCGCTGATCCGCGGGGTCTGCCAGTGGGTGGGAGGCGCTGGGAGAAAGCAGGCAGCCAAACAACGTAAGAGTGGAGCATTGCACAACTTTAAATGAGTATGTTCCCTAATTGATCAGCAACGAAACAATGTTAAGCGGGACGACTTTAAGTGAGGAGTTACTGTATAGTTGTTTCTGCCCCTTGTGTGGGGGATGGGATGCTCTTTGCGTGCTTTCTCCTTCCTTTCCTCCTCATCTGTGAATACCCTCAGTGGGATCTGTCACAATTTTGCTAATGATTTTTTGGATCTATGGAACATTTTACTTTTAAAAAGTTTCCTCTGCTCAGTTATCATTCCTAAAATAAGAATATTATTTTTTCATTTGTATAAGTCTTGCCTTGCTTCTAGGGCTGTGAGTATAATAAAATGAACACTGTAAATCATATTAGCATAGTATTAACATAACTGTAGCATATAAGAACTTGCAGTGAACTGCTTTTATTATGGCAGAACTATATATAAATCTGGAGATTGGGACCTATCCTTCCCCAACCTTCAAAAGGTACCACTTCTCTCCCACACAATGGACCAAGCCAGAGGTCTGCCCCACAGGACCTTTTTAACTTCTACAACTACCTCCCCCACTTCTTTCTCCCCACAAGGAACTGGACTCCAGCAGGACTTCATTTTGACCCAACCCCTGCGTGCCTTACGGTAGATATGCAAAAGCTTCAGCTAATACAGTGTAAAGCAGTCTGTTGCTATAGCAACACAGGTCACCTGTCGCTCATTTCTTGGTAGTGGCTCCCCATTGAATATAGTCCAACTTAAGTCCTCTGTCCTGATATTCAAAGCCTTCCATGGGCTTGTCTTAGCTACCTGAGAGAGCACTCTCCCTCTGTGACCATGACCACCTATAACAACAACATTGTATCAAAAGTCAGCCAACTCTGGGAGGGTGTGTGGAAGACACAGTGACTGGATCTAAACTATGGAATTTTCTCCTGCAAGAGATAAGTGACCACAGAACTAATTACTTTTAAATGCAAAATTTATTTATTCTTAGTTTTCCTACACACGCACAACATCCAACTAAACAAATCTCATACACTAATCAAATTTATTTATCCTAGAGGTTGGAATGGAAGAAAGAGAACTTGTTAGTGTTTTCTACTTTTACATATTTGGGAGGCAGACCTTATAAATAGATGGATGGGAACACATACTAGCACACCCTGCAGCTGGGAGTAGCACAGAGATGCTCCCTCTTCAGCTGGTTACTGACTGGTTTCTGGGGCGGAGTGTAGTTGTTCAAGCTCTTGTGTACAGTAGCTAAGGAAGCTCTATGATTAAATCCTAGTTTTGGTATAATCCAGCTGGACTATCCCCCCAAATGAGGGCAGACCCAATTAAACAAGAACATCTGGTCACCCTAAATATCTTGGTGACTTTGTTTTCAAACTTTTTTTTTCTTGAACATATTTCAGCTTAGACTTTTAGTCTTCAGAATCTGAATTTGCACTCCTTTTGTATGCTGGTGTGTTTCTCCCCTCCCCCCCAAAAAAAGTTAAGCAGATTCATTTAATTTGAAAATACATCACTGCACATACACATACTAACTGTATGCTAAGACCAGAGCAATTTTTTACAGTAAAATTAGCATTTCCTTTGACAGTTTGTGCCCAACCAATACCAGAGCTCTTCTAGTATTTATTTCCTGATTCTTGTAGTGGTTTCATTGATATTAGTCTCAAAGGAGCCAAAGACTTGATATATCATCAGCTTTTTCCTAGTAAACCATTAAATACATTTTGGGTCCATATCCATTTCGCTATTTCAAGTATTTTCTAGGTTGCTCTTACATTTTTTGTTAAGAGGAGAAGAAATTAAATATATAGTTTAGGATAACTTTTGACAGGTTCTTCTAATGGAATAAATACATGGAATGTAGTGTTACTATTTCCGCTCCACCCATGATTCACAGTGATGTCTAGGTATTGCAGCCCAGACGTGTATGTGGAACATTGCTCTGTAATTTAAGACGCCTGCAATATTTAGCCTTAGTAGAATGTTTTAAGTTCAGAGTGGTAACCTTATTTTTGCACTCTTTTTGCATTTGACTAAAGGAACAATCAGAACAATTAATGAATTGTGGAAAACTCTGTGGACTTAATGAAAAAATAAAGTATTTCATCTATATCTTAATATTTGTATTGACAAGCTGTTTTCCTTTGTGTGCATATGTTGTTAACAAGATTGTTTTTGGTTTTACTTTCTGTAGGAATGTAAAAGGAGTGGTATAAAAGTTTGCAGTTTAAACTTGATTTTATAAAGGGGAATGAAACTTCTTACTTACAAAATTACTGTGGTATAGAACTCTAAAGCAGCAGGATTGTCACTTTGGCACCATTAAAAATTGTGTTCCTTTTGCAGATGTCTGTTTATAATATGATAGTATTATAAACAGGCAGATATGTAAAAAGTATGGTTATTAAACTCTCCATATCTATAATATACCATTTGCAGCTATTTTTATTCTTTGAAAAAAGGTGTCTAACAATTGGTAGTAATATATTTTAAGTACAGTAGTGCCTCACTAATGCATACTAATAGAGGGAGTCTTGAGCATTGTTGATCTTGTGATGGGGAATTCCACCAGTGTCAAATGCCAATTATAAGTGCCTTAGCTGTGTTTGAGGGATCTATAACCATCCCAGAATATTGCTGGGCTTGAGAATAAACTTTTAACCCGAAAATACATGTGAATGCAGTTTATCAAAGTGTGAATTAGTGAGATTCTGTTGTACTTTACATGGAGTTGCTAAGTATATTCTTTTAGTTCTTTGGTAATGTAATTTATTTTATTGCAAATATTTTCAGGATGCTGTTCAGGTGTTGTTAAAGCATTCAGCAGATGTCAATGCCCGTGACAAAAACTGGCAGACACCCCTACATATAGCAGCTGCAAATAAAGCTGTTAAATGTGCTGAAGCTTTGGTGCCTCTTCTAAGTAATGTAAATGTGTCAGATCGAGCAGGTAGAACAGCATTACATCATGCAGCCTTCAGTGGACATGTTGAGGTATGGATTATTTTCCAGATCTTGTTTCTTAGCCCTCTTGCCTCCCACCAAAGCTCTGATTATTTGTTATTTGCATACGTGTACATGATCTGGTAATGGTAAAATGTATACTAAAGCCCTGAAGAGTACTGTTCCAGTGGTGAGGTATGGCCTTCTTACTAGCCTGTAGGAATGCTTTTTTTCTAGTTTCTGCATTCCCCCAGAAAAAATCAACCTTTTATTTATAGTCTGGGTCCTGCTAAAATGCATAAACTTAAATTGTAAATTAATTTCTAGTGACTGAAGCCATAGTGTAATTTATCAATTTTCAGCAATTTGTATGGAAACGAAAGGCTTTTAATATGTAAATTTGTTGGGTGATTAAATAGATAGATTTTTAACTAACTTTTTTTAGTTTTAATAAACAGTATGTATGTAGTAGATACAGTACATATAGTATGCCATGGTTGTTAAACAGTTGCATAAAATAGGTCATCTGAAATATTTTGGTTGTCACTTGATATATAATTTAGAGGACCCCATGATCACAACATTGTCACCAGTGTGGGCATCCAGTGTACTTAAGTGCACAAAATATCAGAAGCGATGTAAATGGAATGGTGGTTTTAAAAGATTTAAAAATTTGGTTTAATTTCACCCAAGATTTATTCTTTGCTTTCATTATTATGCCACATTCTATGCATAGTTTTATATTCTGAGCAGAGGTATTTTACTTATTTTTCTTTCTTCACCCTAGATGGTGAGTTTGTTATTGTCTAGAGGTGCCAATATTAATGCATTTGACAAGAAAGACAGACGAGCTATACATTGGGGAGCATATATGGGTATGTACACCTTTGCAACTGATTCTCTGTGCATTAGGGAGAAAGTCAATCACTTCTTCATTTTATTGAATTTATATACTATAATTTCTAGGCAAAAACATTTAGTCAAGGTTACTTAGTAGATGATTACGAGGAAGGTATCTATACATCTCATATAAAATTTGTAATAGGATACAGCAAACTGATTTTTTTATGAATGCTTTTGTGGCAGAAAAAAATGACATGCTAATTTATTTTAAGAAAGGAAAGTAAAACAGTTTCTCCCCTAAACATTAATACTTTTTGGTTTAATGTGGATTCCTGATTGAAAATTTGTGCACTAATGTGATCGGCGTACGAGGAAACTGAATAGAGATAAATATAATTCTCCATCACTCATAAGTGGTGGTTATAGAGTCATAGAAATGTGACTGGAAGGGACCTTTAGAAGTCATCTGTTCCAGCCCACTCTACTGAGGCAGAATCAAGTGAACCTAGACCTTCCCTGACAGGTGTTGTGAACCAGGTGAAGTGAACCTAGACCTTCCCTGACAGGTGTTGTCCAACGTGTTCTTAAAAAATCTCCAAAGATGGGGATCTACAACCTCCCTTGGATGCCTAGTCCAGAATTTCACTACCCTTATAGTTAAAACCCTTTTTCCTAATATCTATCCTAAATCTCCCTTCTGCAGATTAGGCCCATTACGTCTTGTTTTCCCTTCAATGGACATGGAGAAAGATCGATTACTGTCCTCTTTAGAACAGCCGTTAACATATTTGAAGACTGTTGCAGGTCACCCCTCAGGTTCTCTTCTCAAGACTAAACATGCCCAGTCTTTAACCTTTCCTCATAGGTCAGGTTTTCTAAACCTTCTACCATTTTTGTTGCTCTATACTGAACTCTCTCCAACTTATCCACATCTTTTCTAAAGTGTGCCATCCTGAATTGGACACAGTAATCCAGCTGAGGCCTGACCTGTGCCAAGTAGAGCAGGACAGTTGCCTCTCATGTCTTACATATGATACTCCTGTTAATACATCCAAGAAAGATAATAGCTTTTTTTGCAACTGCATCACATTGTCTCATTCAATTTGTGATGTGCTGTAATTCCCAGATCCTTTTCAGCAATTCCAATGCCTAGTCAGTTATTCTCCATTTTGTGTATGTACATTTAATTTTTCCTTAATTGTAGCACTTTGCACTTGTCTTTACGGAATTTTATTTTGTTGATTTCCGACCAATTCTCTATTTTGTCAAGACCATTTTGCATTTTAATCCTGTTCTCTAAGTGCTTGCATTTCCTCCCAGCTTGGCATCATCCACAAATTTTATAAGCATGCTTTCCACTCCATTAACCAAATCATTAATGAAAATATTGATAGTACTGGACCTGCAACTGACCTCTGTGGGACCTCCAGTTTGATAGATAACCATTGAGAACTACTCTTTGAATATGGTCTTTCAATCAGTTGTGTACCCATTTTATAGTAATTTAATCTAGGCCACATTTCCAAGTTTGCTTATGAGAATGTCATGTGGGACTATGTCAAAAGCCTTACTAAAAATATGATGTTTTCTAGTAGAGTATCAGAAGCTGACTCAAAAAGGAAGAAGAATAGCCTTTAAGATTGGCTCCCTGCTTGGGTTTTGTTTTGTTTATTTAACAGGGAAATGGACCAAGAATAAAACGTGAAATTATTGCACTTCCACTTTTATTCCAGGATTTCAGCCTCTTTTTCTCAATCATTGTCTTGCCTCTGATGATGAAGTTGTCCACAATGGGTTGGTTATCACGTCAGAATGATATAGGCTTCCTTTATGTAGACTTCCTTCCATTAGCCCTTTATGTAGAACTTTGCTGTTTATAATAAGTATGGGAATTCTTTTCTTCAGCTTGTCTGTAGTCATGGTTCCTCACCTCCAGCTTCATTCAAGAAGTGAAAAGATTAAAAGAAAAGCAGATAAGAGTCTTGACTAAATAACTCAGGGTACGTCTTCACTTACCGGAGGGTCCGGCGGCAGGCAATCGATGTTCTGGGATCGATTTATCGCGTCTGGTTAAGACGTGATAAATCGATCCCGGATCGATCCCGGAAGTGCTCGCCGTCGACCCTGGTACTCCAGCTCGCCGAGAGGAGTACGCGGCATCGACGGGAGCTTTCCTGCCGCGTCTGGACCCGCGGTAAGTTCAGACTAAGGTACTTCGAATTCAGCTACGTTATTAACGTAGCTGAATTTGCGTACCTTAGTCCGAAGTGGGGGCTTAGTGGGGACCAGGCCTCAGTTATACTTCCAAATAAGTCATAGGAAGCTACTGATGCACTTTTCAGTAACAACCAGTTTTCTTTGACTTCTGAGCAGGTGCAACACATTTTTTTTCTCAGATGTCTTTTCTACTTGTGGCATCTGTGTACTTACAAAATACTTTCTGTTGACATCACAAAAAGTTGTAATTTCTTATGACTTGGTACCAGCTGTAATTGCTTTCAGTTCTCCTTTCTTTTATCTCAGTAGGGTTGTATTAGTTCTCACTGAAGAATTTATGGTTGTGGCCACAGCTCCGAACAGTAACAGATATCTATTTCCAGGAAATTGGCTAGAAGCAGGTGTCACTTCAAAATGGAAATTATATGATAAACATACCGTATTAAGTCAGCATTGATTAACCTGAGTTTAATTCTCAATTGCAGGAAAAAGTTAATTGATGCCATTCCATAGTCTTGACTATTGAGTGGTGCAGTTTGACTTTCAAAATTAATAGTTTATCCAGCCCAGGAGAGAAGAGTGAAAATAGAAAAATTGATATTATGTGCTCTGCAAGTATAGGAATTCGTCAGATGAGATATAAACCAAGATACATCTCTAATCATTAGAGATCCCTCAGCACTCTAGAGTAGTAGTTTTGCATTAATGTGCTGATCAAATTCTATTCTGGGTAGTTTACAATTTGTCTAACTGTTTCCCTACTCCCAGTTATTCCTAAACATTTGTGCAGTGTTCTATAGCACTGTTAATGGCAGTTGCACTTCATCATAGATATAAATGATTCTTGTATGGTGTGCATAGTTTTTAGATTCACTTAAAAAAAAAGCATGGAAAATGCTTTGAAATCAGTTTAAATTGTGTATTTATATAGTACCTCTTTTAAAAATAGACTGAAATCTCTTCAGGACAGGATTTGTGGAGAGTTTGGGGAGGGGGGAGGAAAATTTTATTCAGCTATTTTGGATCATTGGCAATGAGACATTACAATTACATTGTCTTGGTACAATGATCTGGACAAACTGGAGAAATGGTCTGAAGTAAATAGGATGAAATTCAATAAGGACAAATGCAAAGTACTGCATTTAGGAAGGAACAATCAGTTGCGCACACAAAAAATGGGAAATGACTGCCTAGGAAGGAGTAATGCAGAAAGGGATCTGGAGGTCATAGTGGACCACAAGCTAAATATGAGTCAACAGTGTAACACTGTTGCAAACAAAAAAGCCAACATCATTCTGGAATGTATTAGCAGGAGTGTTTTAAGCAAGACACGAGAAGTAATTCTTTCGCTCTACTCCGTGCTGATTAGGCCTCAACTGGAGTATTGTGTCCAGTTCTGGGCGCCACATTTCAGGAAAGATTTGGAGAAAGTCTAGAGAAGAGCAACAAAAATGATTAAAGGTCTAGAAAACGTGACCTATGAGGGAAGATTGGAAAAAATTGGGTTTGTTTAGTCTGGAAAAGGGAAGACTAAGAGGGGACATAATAGCAGTTTTCAAGTATATAAAAGGTGGAGGGAGAAGAATTGTTGTTAACCTGTGAAGATAGGACAAGAAGCAATGGGCTTAAATTGCAGCAAGGGGAGGTTTAGGTTGGACATTAGAAAAAACTTCCTAGCTGTCAGGGTGGTTAAACAGTGGAATAAATTGCCTAAGGAGGTTGTGGAATCTCCATCATTGGAGATTTTTATTAAGAGCAAGTTAGACAAATACCTGTCAGGAATAGTCTAGATAATACGTAATCCTGCCATGAGTGCAGGGGACTAGATGACCTCTCAAGGTCCCTTTCAGTCCTACGATTCTATATCTTCTTATATAATGACTTACATTGTTTAATCATTAACATTTCCGTTTTTCAGAAATATTTAAACACAACCTTAATGTCTTTTTATTTTTAACAATTCATATTAACTTCTTTATGGTGGGAGGGGAACCAAATACTTTCTGATGTGGGGGAGTTAAAAGTTTCAGGACAATAGAAAGAAATAGAAGCCATAGGGTCCGGGGGGGAAGGGGAGAGAGCAAAATCATTGTTGGTCAGTGCCTCTGCAGTGCACTGACACTTAGATCATGGAGCTGACTTTATCCCACTATATTTAATATAAGAACATGTCCCTTCTCTTTTCAGCTTGTATTGTGCGTCATTTTTATAGCTTTCCTAAAAAAGTATTCTTCAATATCATTGTCCCAATAGAAACTTCGAATTGCAGTTAATAATGGGAAGCTCTATGATTGGTGAACAAGTTTACCTTAAAGTTATGGCACAAAGCATAAAACTTTGATATTGCAACTTCACTTAGTAAAACAGAGTGAGTTTTAGAACTGTGGTGGTGCCTGACTAACTTGAAGATTAGTGCATTATTGATGAATAATATGGATTATGCCATAGACGCTTGAAACATTTTAACTCTTTGGTCTTTGTTCATATCAATTTGTTATGATAGTAGAGATAATAGCATAGATCTAGATAATTTTCCCCATTTTCAGTCTTAGTACTTACTGCATATGTACCAGGAGAGATTGCTGCTTGGACAGACGTCCATCATGTGTATCAGTAAGACAGACATTTAACATCATATTTGAGTAGGTGTTTGTTTTTTGCCTTAAGTCAAGCTTGTGCTGATATAAGTATAGCAAAGATTATATTGAAGTAGTAACCTTAGGAACTACTTCTATTCAAAAACAAGTAATGTAATGAGCCCCGAGAGAAGTTGTAGAGGAAGAGCAAAGTTGTGCTTATTCATTTTTACTGAGAA